ACTTTAAAACTTTGGTGAGTGCCATGGTCAGATGCGCAACAAATTATTTAAACAAAAAAAGTTCACACTGCAGTTTAGTTAAAAAAATACACTAGAAAGATCATTTACACTAATATTTTGTGTGCTCAGTAAACTTAACATTATGGCGTTCCTTTATTCGACGCATGAATCTTAGGCCTTCAAAAAGTATGAGACGCTTTTGCAAAAAGATGCAATAACTTAGTGCGAAATCTCATCTTTTTCTCTTACATCACATCTCATATTAATGGGTTACCTAACGATTCAAAAATATGAATATAGACATGCTCGCACAAGCGCGAAGTAAGCAACCAGTAAGTAATTGACCCAGGAAAGCCATCTGACAGCTAGGGATGGAGCAGGTTTACTCAGGTTCTGTTTTGGGTTTTATTTAGCAGGTAAGATTTTGGAGTCTTCTTTATAAAAACCTTACAAGAGCTTGGTGTGGTTTAGGATTTTATCTGATCCTGAAACTTTCACTTAATTTGCCATATCAAATGCCCTTTCTTTTTAAGAACACAAGTTTATTTGTGCAATTTCCATCAGAATCCCGAAAAATGGAGATCCAAGTTACTTTCAAGCACCATTGTCTAGCGGTTTTCCTGTGTGTTATGATCTACTATTGATTTTACTGTAAAAGCATCTGATTGTGGGTTCCTCCATACTTTGATATGTTAGGAACAGTTTAAGAGCAATGTCATGTTGTCGAGACGGACTCACGACAGATTAAACCTACCCAAGATTACGCCCCATAGCCTTCTCGACCGGCAGCGGCGTAGACTGATTTAGATGTACTCTCCCTCATCGCCTGCTGCTCTCTGGTCTTTCGGATGAGTTCGTTCTTGAACAGCATGAAGGCCAAAGGACATCCACTGTCCACAATCAAGACTCTTTCTGTAACAGTCTGAATTTTCGATCCTTTTCCCGGAATTTAAGAAATGAATTTGACCAATGCACTATAGTGAGATCTTACCCGGGACTCGCGCATTCTCGGGATGCTAACCTTAGGGGTAAGGCTATTACGGGATTGAGTTCGCACGACTAAAGAACTCGACCTGGATTCGATCTTCGACCATATGGATTGACGAGGGAATGTTTTGAGCCAACCGAGACCAGTCTATTTGATTGATCGTGTCCGAAGGGCACTAGTGACAGACCCTCGCAATTATATGACAACCGAGGTCGTTCCGGGTAGAGTAAACTTAAACGTGATTTGACTCGGTGTCGGTCACGGGTTGAGAGCGCGTAATCCTAATGAGCCACTCGTTAGCAAGAGATAAGCTAAAGTCGCGATTGGTCAATTTTAGTCATTTCTTGGAATTCGGGACCGGGAATTGAGAATTTTGAAAAGTGATAATTTTGAGCGGCCGATGACGTTTTTGGCTTGGCCAACCTTTGGGCCACCCATTTCTGCAAAAAAAATAGATTTCGGTCCGGGGCCGGAAAAATTACGGTTTTGCCCATGTGGACACCAATGTTTGATTTTGAAGTCGTTTGAGATTATTTTTCGAGGCTAGCGTCATTTTGGGTTGGCCACGTGCATTTGGAACAGTTTTGGACAAAAATTGGAATTTTGACAAAAATTGGAAAAATAATATTGTTTTATTCCCGGAACTTCGCAGTTGATTTTCAAGGGCTTAGAAAGTGAATTTCGCGATTCCGACACCGCATTATGTTGGCCACGCACATATGGAACGCGTATGTGCGAAAATTGGAATTTCGCCCCGGGACCGGAAAATTACCATTTTGCCCCTGGGCTAATTTTTGGGTCCGAATTTTTTTTGGATAAATTGGGATAATTATGGATAAATATCAGCTGCATCCTTGGGGACCATTGACCCTTTTGCCCCTCTCTTTTTAGATAAGAATGAATAGGAACCATTTAATTAGGGGCATTTTAGTCCTTTTTACCTAAGCTTGACACATGGCACCCCTAATTAAATTATTTGACCAAGTTGGCTGATCTCTCTCTCTCCTCACTCACTCTCACGTGCAGACCAGCCCTCTTCAGAAATTTTCTCCCCATTTTCCCACCTTTTCTCTCCACTTTCTCTCCATTTTCCTTCATTTTCTCTCTCGCCGGAGTTTCGCCGGAGCCACGCCGGCCAGCCGTTCCACCTTCCCGCTCTAGCCGAGTTAGTCTAGAGTCCGGTAAGTCGCGATCTAATCCCTATTTAGGACGTCGGGTATTTTCGGACTCGTTCGGGTATGGTTTAGAGGATTTAGAGGGTGATTAAGGTATTGATCATGATTATTGGTGGTTAATCATGGCTATTGGTGGCTGAGTATGACTGTTAGTGGTTGTTGCAGGTTGGATTAGACGTCGGGAAATGAGTTTTGGCTGTTGGAATTCGGTAGAAATCGGTTCGGGTTTGAATCCATGAGGTTCGGGGTGAATCGCGGATTCGCGGTTACTGTACCCACTCGGTTTGCTATTTTTGTAGAAAATTTTGAGGGTCGAATTTGAGGAAGTTTTCTTCATGAAAGTTGTTTCCAACATTTTGAAGTATAACATATATTAATTTGGGAATTTTTGGAAATCATTTGGTGCCATTCGGAAGTCCATCTTTGGACCGAAATAAAACTGCCCGATTTACTGTTCACCCGACCTTCGGGTCTGTTCGAATTTTTATAAATTTTTCCAGGCCTATTCTCAAAACACTTCCTTCACAAAACCTGTTGGGGACATTTGTGGCTATAACATATAAAAATTTCAAAGCTTTTCAAGGTGATTTTTGTGTTGAAATAAATGTATTTTGAGGACAAAATAGTCTGTTAGAGCGAACTGATTTTGGTCTGATTTTGAGGGACAAAAAGGCATGGTTGTAGATTGAACCGGATTTCGTATTCTTCATAAGAAATTTTTATCGGGATGTGTTTTGCGACATATCCAAAATTTAGAATTTTTGGAGTTCGTTTACTATTTATTTTGATGGGATTCCGGTCACTGTTTAGGGTTCGGTTTAGGGGATTTTGTGACTGTTTTAGGGGCTGTTTGGGGCTGAATTGAGAGACTGGTTATTTGGTGGTTGTGGACTGATTTGGCGACGAAAATTTGAGGTATAGAAAGCTTGGGTAGGACCGTGATGTTGTGACTGGATTGGGGTTGAATTGTGCAATCGATCAGTGGGAATTATGCTATGAATTGAATTGTGTACGTGGTTGTGTGATTTGTGATCGTGGGCTGATTTGGATTATGCTTGGGCTGAATGTGGATTGGTGATATGCAGTGTGTGCTTGGCCGTGAGATGTGGTGGTGTGATAGTGCATTCGCGTGCCAAGAATGTGTGATTGGGTGGCGTGTTCGTGTGACGAGAATGTGAAATTGTGAAATGTGTGTGAGGTGTGCGTGTTTGGCAGTGTGTAGGTGTGGCCGTGTGACAAATGTGGTTTGAGTGGAACGAAGGTACTGGAATGTAGGATTGGTTTGAAAAGTGAGACCCTGAGGCGTGTACGTTTACGCGGGGTGAGGTCCGTCCTGAGGCGTATACGTTTACGCGGGACGATAACGTCCCTGACGAGGTGACGATGCCCGGCCCGACGGGGTGACGATGCCTGACGTGGTCAGAAGACCGTTGGCCTGATGCGTTTTACGCGGGCGCGGTAGAAGGAAAGTGTGTGTAGGATTTCGTCCTGAGGCGTGTTCGTTTACGCGGGACGATGCCGTCCCTGACGAGGTGACGATGCCCGGCCCGACGGGGTGTCGATGCCTAACGAGGTCAGAAGACCGTTGGCCTGATGCTTTTACGCGGGCGCGGTAGTGGTGGAAAGGTTGAGAATGAGCGGGAATTGGCTTGAGGTGCGAGGTTTGAGAAAGTGACGCGTGGTGTGAGTTGGTGTGCGAGTGTGTTTGTATCGCGTAATGCAGTGCGCGATTATGGGGTAAAATCTGCTAGGCATGGTATGGGACGTGCCCAAGTACGTTTTGCTTTATAATCGAGGCACGCGCGCGGCTGTGATGTACTGCTGTGGTATGATTGGCGTGTGTATTGATATGTGGAAAGTGTGTGATGGCATGTGTGCAAGAATTGTATGTTGGGATTGTGGGCTAACGGGTATGGTGCGTATGCAGAGAGTCCAGGTATGTGTGAATGTTTGATTGCTGATTGTGTGGTTGTTTGGTTGCGCTTTGGATGTGTCTGGAATTACGTGATAGCTTAGGTGGGGCTTAGGTTGTGACTTATTGAGATGTGATCTCATGGTTGTTTCAACCAAACCATTTTAGAGCCCCGCCTAAATGTCGAGGTTGAGGTCGACTCGGAGTCGTCGGGTGAGCAGACAGCTGCGGAGGATTCAAGTGGTGATGCCGAGGACAGTGAGTCAGAGTGGACGCCTTCGAGAGGGCGTAGGGGATAGTTCTGGGAGGAGGATGCGCCCCATTTTTGGATAGTGCTGACCTAGAGAGCTGATCTTAATAATTTGGTGGTTTGGAGTTTATAGTTCGGTGTGCTTATAAATTATTTTATGGTTTGTATTGGCGGATGATGTAAATATTTGGAAGTGTAATATATGCTTGGTGGTTTGTCGATTTGTTCCTTCCTGGTGTTCTCCAATTTTATTGTCCGGGAATTTTTGATTGCTTCCGCCGCGATTTAACTATGATGTTTGGGTTGGGTCGGCGGCGTTCCTGGGACATCGCAATATTTCGACCGGAGCGGGATGTCGCGAGCTCGATGGGATTCGAGGCGTGACACTTTCAATAGTTTCCCCATCGCTGGTGTTTACTTCCTTCCCTTAGCACCCAGCAATGAGGGGCTTTGGTAAACAGTCGACCGCAAGAGAAGCGTAATCTCGGAATCACACTAGGTTTGACTTGAAAATCAGCACAGAGCTCCAAGAAAATGGGAAAGCTCTGAGTTCGATTTGAAGAATGTATATTCCTTCAACCAGAAAGAGATTCAACTATCAAGATCTTATCCTAGCTCTGAAGAGAGTTTAATATTTATGCGAATGATTTATCTTTTATAGCATTGCCACAAAGCTAAACAAGTAGCCATGGATTCATCAATCGATTGATCATATACAATGGCATGTTATATACAATTGCAGATTAAACTGAACATTTCCAGGAAATCAGGTCCTTATGATCAGTGGCATCGAAAATCTTACACGTAAGTACTATTTCGATTCGACTTCATCTGGTTTTAGTTCGTTATCCCCCGGATTCAGGGCACTGTCGGCAGATTCAGAAGGCAAAGATAGCTCTTCAATCGATTCTGTAATTGTTGGGGTCGGTTTCTTGAATTGCACTAATATCATCGTCATGTTGTCACATCCCTCGCCATTGGCAGTAGATGGTGATAAACAACGATCAAGAACTCTCCCGCACACAGTAGAGAGCTTCGTTTCCTGCACAGTGCACAATGTTAACCATCAATTTCTTTTCAAGTTTTTCAGGTTATATAAAAGTCGATCCGAGTTCCACACTACTCACTAGTCAAAGGTTAAAAGCAGAAGTCACTCTACACAAGCCCTAAGATTAAGAAACCAGAATTCCACGAGGTCTAGTCCACTTACAGAAATTAACTGCTCATGCACGACATCCACTAGCTGCTGGCTGGACATGCAATCCCTAAATGCACAGATTGCAAATAGAACATCATTAGGACAACCCCACAAGTAAGGAAAATGGGAAGACAATGGGAAGACAAATTGACAGGGCAACATTGTCCAAGAAAAATGTTGTATAGATTACTGTAAAATATTTACTAATGTCGAAAAAATTGAGAAGAAAACTCCACAAAAAGAGAATAAAATAATATTTTCCACAGACAAAACAATCTCCATGCATAACATAGGATTAGACTCAATGATTCAAAATGGAAGAAAGAACACTGCTTATTTATAAGATCTACAAGACAAGGTAAAGCGAAACTCTGAAAGAGAGTGATGGCCTACATATCATTTCAAACAGTGCCTATTAAGAAGTTGATTATGGTGATGCCAAGTAAACTACAACTAGGAATTCAAAATTGTCGGAGGACTATTTTAGAACTGTAGGCTAACATGTCATCTTTCTGGTACATCTCGAAACGAGGTGCAATGAGATCTTTAAAAACAACACTCACGGGTGCGCATGAGGGTGCACACATGGCAGATGCTCACATTGGCTCTAATTCATATTCCACTGTGAGTGCAGAGCACAAACTTTCTTTCGGCATCAAACTCAAGTTAATTCTTATTTGTCATATTGAAATTGGTAAGCGTCATAGTGTCATAAGATGCATACCAGATGCCATCACATGCTAGCACGATAAAATCATCATCCTCACAAAGGTCAACCTATCATAGAACAGTTAAAAGGGATAATTAGACAAATAGAAAGAGAGAGAAGTTTTTAAGTCGAATGCATATTTATTTATAGTCTAAATGATACACAGACAAGTATGCCCAGAAAAAGCAAGAACATCGACAAAAATGCCCCAATAGATGTGAGTCAGATTATTTCAATATTTAACATCCTACACCTAAAATCTCTCTCAAATAGCCATACCTCGTGCAAGAGGAGAAAAAAGATGAGAAATTGTCAGCTGGAAGGCAGTTAAACATATCATCCCATAAAATTTGTTGCCAAAAGAGAGTAGCTGCTTAAAAGATGCACGTACAGTATTTAGATCTGGATTTGCAGTTACAATTTGCTTTTCAGCAGGCAGAAATTTATTTTGCTTAAATTCCACGTCACCTGCAGCAAGCAAGTGAAAGCAATTACCCGTTGACAGTATATAGGTAAAAAAGAAACATGTACTTAGAGATGCTATATAAAATAAAGAAGGCATTGTGAAAAGCATTGTTTGCAAAACCGGAAGGGAGAGAACCAATCAGAAGATCTATTGGTTCAGGCGTTCAAACTGGTTGACCTGCTAGCTTATCATTGGAATAATTACTGTTGGCCTAGTGGTTGAAGGATTGAAGCCTCCCAATGCAGAGTTAGGAGTCAAAGGGAACAGCCTACACAATGCCTGGAGCATCAAGATAGCAATAAATTCATTGCTCTGGGCTTGTATAAGACAGCAATAATTTCTTTTTGTCACTGCTACTATAAAGATAGCTTGTGGCTAAATGGAAAAGGGCTAACCGAGGTAGTTAAAAATCGCTCCCTTGGTCAACTCTCCACCACCACATTTTATAAATTTTGCCCTTGTTACCAGTTTGGACCGAATCTGCTCCTATTCAATTCAACCAGCTGAACCGTATGAACAAAGGTTTAGTCCAGTTTTTCCTACCACATTAGATGGTCCAAACTGGACCTGAACATGAAATCATCCCAAGATCAACTGCTTGATCTGGCCGGTCAGGCCCGGTTATAGAAACATTGGCATCGATGGCAAATAAGTTCAGAAACTTCCTTTCCAATATCAAGCAGAAGTATGCAAAGACGATCAGATTGAGGTTGAAATCCCAACAAAACCTAGTCGTGAAAGGTCAGATACCTATAGCTCTTGCAAGATTTAAGCTTCCATTCACTCGTCCAGCATGGATAAAACCTCCAGCTTTTAGAATCCTCTCCTTTTCAGCCTCCAATTCAGGTTTGTGGTCTCTAGACAGATTGTATGCCTGTTACAAGCAAGACGGTGACCAACTAGGAACAATTAATTTGGTTGCTCAGGCCACTCTTTGCATTAATTGGGAGTAAGTAGGTGCATGATGAGGAGAATCTGGGTTTTCAGTAGATGGTTCAGGTTGGTCTTGTTGGTAAACTGGCCGAGAAATGCTGGTTCTATTGTCAAGTCCACTAATATTAGCAAGTAGAGGGTTATTTGGTGGTTCGGTATTTGTTTTGGAGTTACTATTGTCATTTCTAGGTGGAAGGGCAATTATAGGAGGAAGGTTTGGATGGAGATCAACTGACCACCTTGATGAGGATGAGAGGATTGACCTTAAATCAAATGATCTTCTCATGTATATAGCTGGACAATGGCCTATACAATCATAATATTTGAAAACATAATAGTGCTCAAATAGCAAAGCAAAAATGAATATATTGCGATAAAAAATTACCTGACCCTTTCTAGACAGGACACATCGAGAATCACCAGCATTGGCAACAACTAGTTTGTTATTTCGGATAACGGCAACACAGGCTGTGCACCCGGCAGAAGGGCCAGCAAAATCAGAATGAGGGCCCTGTAGATTACTCAAGGACAAAACATAAATAAGGATACAAAAAATGACAGGTAATAACGGCCACATCAAAACAAGAAGAAACTATTTTTATTTTCTGTTCGTTTTTGCCGAATGCAACAAAAAATTATAGTGAGATATAACATTTAGTGCAAATGGCAAGTACAGAAAACGAGCAAAACTGATCCCATTGCTTCTGACACATACCTCCTCAAAAGCCCAATCATCATTCTTGCCATTGCTATCTGCACCCCTTGGAGACCATATAAGTCCCTCTATCATTCCTGTAAATCTGTTGATTTTATCTCCAAAAGCAGCTAATTCCCTCCAACCCCTTTGACCTCGCATCATTTCATCCATTCTGCAACAACATAACACCATTTGCAACAGAGAAGAAAGGATAGCATGTCAGTAGCTGCTAGATATGATTAAAGTTTCAGAAAATCCTACTCAGAAATTAATGAGTTTTAGATCTCAAAATAGATTCTCCTGTTTTATAGTACTTATCTAACGAGCTAAGAACCTAGATGAAGTTTGAGTTTCAGTAGCCAGGTTCTACTTATGATATCTTACTCCAGAGAGCAACAGCACCTGCTGAGATAAGCACATACTGCGTGCACTTTGGTTCTATTCCACTTCATGACTACAGGCAACCATCAATGACAAGTAATCCTTGCACAAACAGAAACTGAGTGGCTACCAAAACTTCTTCAAAGCTAATTTATCATCGTGAATACATGTTTAGGAAGATGGTTTCCCCAGAGAGAAAATGTAAGAGGAACAGAAGATTCATGACTGAAGGAAATCACCGGAGAAAAGCTTTCTGAAGGGATATTCCTATTTCTCCGGCTGCATATGCCTCATTCTTGAGGACCTGCTGGTGAAGATAGTTGGCACAGAACTTTGCGACCACTTTCCCTGCAAGAAAGAGTACATGTCACAACAACTATCTGATGTCAAGCAGCAAAATTAATCTTAAGCATTTAGCTTTAGACCATATACCCCTAGAATTTAGCATATCGGACAAAAATGGCAGAAATACAAGACCAGTAATGTTAGATATGAAGATCTGGCCCTTTCAAAGTACACCAAATCAAACACAAAACTTTACCTGGATTATTCCCTTCCCCGAAAAGAACAAACATAATACATAAAATCTGAACTCCACTATAGCTGACAGTTTTGTTGGGATATGCAGGCTATTTTCTTAAGATCTACATTTTCTAAATTCAGTCCAGTCAATTTATTTGGTGGGATTTAAAATAGAGGTGTTCAGAATAGAGGACAGACAGCAAATGCATAAGGGAAACCATATAGCTGACCTCACTTAGTAGGAAACGGCTAGAAGGTGCAGTTTGGATTAGCTGTTCATTTTAGAGTATATTTACGACTCAACCAACAACTATTGTTCGAAAATTTGCAACCAATGTGATAAATTGGGTCCCGATTTTATTCAGTTTGGTTTTCAGTTATTAAAGCAGAGCCGGGAATTTCATAAGGACAATAACATTGGCTAATGACTTTTTATCTCCAACATCAGATACAAAACGGCACGGCAAAGACTTGTGACTCTCTTCATAAATATCGAAAAAAAAAAGAGCTTAAAATTTATGAATTGTCAAGGCACTGAACGAAAGTATACAGTACACAAACAACAAAACCAAATAACCACAATAACCTCCCATCAAGTGCTAGAGGCCAAACATTCCTATTGTATGATGACTAATAAAAATATTCATTACGTGTTTTTTTGGTCGGAAAATATTCATTACTATACATATAGCTAGTTTGATTGGGTTTATAAATTATTTCAATTGGATAAACTAAATATGAACCAATGACTCAGTAAGAACTCCAAACCGAAACAAACAAACAAATTGACAGACCAAAACTGCCAACTTGGTTTAGTTTGGTTCGGACCAATTTGATTTAATAGGTTTCTTTTTCTCCCAAAAGCCCTCATGCAGATGTAAAATAATTAGTGAACAAAGATCTTCTACAAATTGAATGCAAAAAATATCAGACATAATCAACTGAACCTGTGAACAAGTGTTTGAATCTGATAGATTGAGCCGTTGATGAAAGCATTTCATGCATTCATTTTCCATCTTCAGAAATCCTATAACTTTATAACTACATGAAGTCTTCAGTGAGAAGCTGAAGCTGACCAATGAGGCTTCCCAAAAGCTCACTCTAACAAGTCCAGAATTTGATTGACCAATGCTTTGTGGCATGTGATAACACTGCTAGGTTTTAAATGATGTCTTGTATCATTATATATACAGGGGTTTACCTTCTGTAATTTCTGGCAACAATCCGAAAACAGTACAAATAAAGGCAGTAGTTCATCATTCATGAAAGTCATTATCATTATGAAAACCATATCAATCGCACAAAGATTTCAAATTGTGAAATGGAGTACATCTTTTGTACGACACTATTGGAACCTCAATCAACTTATTTTAAAGCCATATGCATTTCACATTAGCCATATGATGATTTGATAATTCGATGCATCATGTAAGTTAAGATGGATATGCCCATGTCCTATATAGGAATTTTAATGACCTGTTTTCAGGCCAAGCAGTACAAGTAAAACTGCTGATTAGATTGACGGGTGCAGAAAGCTAAAGATGCCTCCATTAAACACCAACCTGGTACTTGCACTCCACACATATGATGTGAATAACTAAAAGTGGCCATGGAACAGTTAGTAGAGATGTAATTAACATCAGAAGAAGGCAACTGCATTGCTATTGATAATTGATTAGGAGTCTCTGAGAGATCTGCCACAGGATCAACATGCTCATGACTCACTAGCTTATCAATATTCAAAACTCTCTGATGCAGCAAAAAGCACTTGCATTAATTCATGAGATGGCACATCGATGGCAATTCAATAGACAAAGAATCACTAAACATCAATAACCAGATGGACCTCTGACTTGAATATGGAACAGAGGAGCAGGTCTGTCTAGGCTAACTTTGGTTCTTTAAGATAAAAGATATTTGGCATCGAAAAATATTGTTGGTAATACCTCCATGGCCATCATAAACACCAAAGAATGAGGTGGAAGCATCCAGGTCAGGATAGGCAGCATGCTGCAAAGAAAACAGACTTTTGATTACATGCCATACTAACACAGAGTGACAGCAGCAAAGCTTCAACTAAGTTACTCACAGCGTCCTCCATCGTCGCACGCCAACCTTGCATAGATGATAGGCCATATCTAACTCGATCATTCTCGCCATCTTCTGAGAACTTTTCAGTTTTTGGAGTGCTCAGATATATCCCCATTTCTGTCTGTAAGTCAGAAATGAGACATTACTTCACTCAGATGATCAAATAGGGAAAAAAAAAACAACATGACAGAGAACTCCCCGGCTAAAAAGCATATGAATGTCAAATTCAGAATAAGTAGATACTAGAAGAAATTCCCAGACCGATTAATCCTATTTCAACGATCGATTTCTTGCCCTCGGCTATAATCTTGAAAAAGTGCAAGAAAAGTTCATTGTGGTTCAACAAAGCCCAAAATCACACGACAACCATGTCGAAATCAGATAGAGGCACGCATAAGCCAGTGTTCCATCCTTTGGAGCTTCCCTATTCCAAGTCCCTCATGGTTGGATTTATCAACCTTCGTATCAAATTAATATCTCTATCAACACTTCAACCACCAAGATTCCCAAAATAGAAATCTGACCGCTAGTATTTCCAAAGTTTAGCAACTGTCAGTCAATAGTCAAAGACGTTACCCCGGATGAATAGATCGACGAACTCTAGACATTCCCGATCAAGCACGGAACACCAACAAATCAGAAACTACAGAACAAACCAATAACAGTGACCAATGCAGTACCCTGACGACGCCTCGAGAAGCTAACATCAAATTACTACAATAATCACGCGAGTAAGGCAAAGGTTATAGCAGGACTCACGTCTCCCAAGTCCAAGTAAGATGAAGCCTGATCCGAAAGACCTCAAATTAGCACAAGAAAAGGGTAGGATTAATCACTCGAGATCAGGTGGACAACAACCCAACACGACACTGAGGCACACTTACACGGCTGAAGTGCTTTGGGCCAAGAACCGGTCAAAGACGCATTTGGGTCTTCACGGAATCCGAGAGGGAGGAGCGTAGGGAAGGATTAAGGAAAAGGGGTTGCTCCAATTTCAACGAAAAGACATAGATGAACGAGAGCGAGGGAGACAGAGAGATGGATCCGTCAAGTTTCTGGTAACTGGGTGAGTGGTGGTGATCCACCAGGAGAACGAGGGTCAAGGATTGTTCTTTCCACTTTCAAGAAACTTCTCTCCTTTGCGTCTCGTCTCGCTCTCGCGCACGACACAGTCGACCAGAGCGTGTGACGCCATTTTTTTCCACTTGTTTAGGCCATGTCTAGCTTGTCTGTGTCGGTGTCGGACCGGGTCCTGAGATTTTCTGGTAAAGAAGGTTTGTTCGGTATCACGAGGGTACGTTGTGGTGTAGCCATCGAGGTGCATCAACTTCTCGTCGTTACTTTACCATAAAAACATACACGCATTCCCATGATTTTTATAACAAAAGTGCAGTTATATCTGTTGTACCTCTTCTTTTAAAAAATTATAAGCAACGCGGAAGTTGGTGAAACTGGTAACTTGCGACTTACGACCGATTGAAAATACCACCTAATCGAAGAAATCCGAAATTTCCCGGTGCAGTCATGATTGTACTTCGAGATCAAAGAGACGTAATATTTCGAAATTCGGTTATCAAATTGACCCAATGAAAAAAGAAATTTTAGATGTAGTTTCCTTTGATATGCTCTCTACCACTTCACCACAACTTTTCCATCACTACCAGTGCTATGAGAAAACTCGTACCAAAGTCTTAAACTCTACGTACAGAGTGTAATTGAGTCTTCAATCTTTTAAGTGTACAATCCAAACGTGAATCTTTACTTATAATAGCGAAATCAAAAGCTAATCCATTTTTTCAATTGAAGTAATTAAAACAGGTTTTATAAAAAATGCAGTCGAGTTCTTTAAAAGCAAAGCGCAAGTTAAGCTACTAATTACATTTCGAGTGTCATAAAAGTAAATTCGTTGAAAAATGTTCATGACGTGATTGTGCGAAGAAAAAGGTTTAAGACTCCATTAAAATTCACAATAAGATTTAATCGGGTGCACATTCCCTCAACTTTGTACTATTTCTAGCCCAAAAAAATCCACTCCAAACGGACTAAAATACTCGTAGTTTTGCATTATATCAACTTAGTCCATAGAGGGACGAGGGGTCAAACTAAATATTAGCAAATTTGTACCCTTTTTTTTCATAATTTCCAAAGGGTGTAAGTTTTATGTACTTTCAGAGCATCACATGATTGTCCATCCAACCAATAAAAAAGTGCCGAGTCTTACCAAAATATCTTTCTTCGATTTTTGAAAGTCAATAATAGAACTCCGATGGCACCTAAAAACCTGTCATGTTTAGCTAGATTCTGCATTCACCTAAACTTCAATAGCTCCGGCGGACAACTTGGGCCAACTCGATCTTCCTACACTTAAATACCTCTGTTAATAGATGCAACCTATCTATGCCCGACATGTGTTAGCCTGACGAAGAAGACATTGAATGTCGGATTCACATGACTGGTGTTCTTTCTTTTGTAGCATGTAGAGGTGAGCACTATAACCGAACTGAACTGGTCAGATCTAGGTGGTTTTTTAATGAAGCCAATTCAATTTCCAGTTCCTAAATTTTGGAACCAGTGATAATCAACTTGATTCCTAATTTCAAGTGTGAACCGAATCACCTAGATGGGATTGGACTGGTAGTTTATTCTTATAATTCTTATTATTACAAAACCTTAATTGTCCATTTTTGCTTAGTCTCTCTCACGCCTCTAACCTCTCCAACTCACGTGGCGCGAGTTACGCCTCCCTCCTTCGCCCCTCTTGCTTGACACCTCCTTTGTCCCTCTCGCGCAACGCCATCTCTTTGCCCGCGGACTCTCTCGCCAATCGCCTCCCTCTCTCATTCTCACACTCACTCTCCATCGCTCCTCCCGTAAGTAAAGCTCTTGGAATAGATCTGGCAGTGATATCAATTAATTATATTAAAATCACTCATATAGTAGTTTAGACCATGCAACACTTGCAGTCTTGTAGGGAATTGAAAAAAAAAAAACAGAGATTTCAACGCCAGTTCTTGGACCCAGAGAATCGGACCAGACCGGTCAATCCGGTTTCAAGATTAGGTGGGCTAGTTCCCGGTTCCACAAACAGGGAACTGACTCTTTTAGTTCGGTTCCCAGTTCCCGATTTCAGGGTGAGAATTAATCTACCTTGGAACCGATTACCCATGGTAGCATGTGCATAACCATTCACCAATTAAGTCTATCTAGTTAAGCCTGACAAAAAAATAGTCTACCAAGTCCATTACCGATTTGTTGTTCTATCTTGAGACCAAATATTGTTAGTTCTAATTAATAGTGTTGGGCATTAAGACTGGTTTGTGCATCAGCTCATGAAACAACTCGACATGTTGAAGTTGGATATCGAAGTAATTGGGAGTTCCTAAACCGATGGTCGCATCTCCAATCTCAAAATTGAGCAGAAAATAACTTCTCCTCAGGGTAGTCGACCTCGCTGACCTTGCCCGCCCCAGCGAGCCTCGCAGTTGCTGAGCAGGCGAGGGTAACTTCCCTGGAAAAGGATGACCTCCTATGTAGTTTGTCGCTCTCGCAGGCTCTGAAACCTATGCAACTTTACCCTCAAGAGAAGGAAACGCAATGCTGATGCAGAATCATTGGTTCTTGTGTCTGCGCATCGGACATGAAAGTCCCTTTCCGGCCCGATCATTTCGCGCTGTCTGTGGGAATCTATGCATCAAAAGTCGATTCATTCTCAACCTTGTAAAACGGGTGCATGACTGCTGTGAATCAGCAGACGCAAGGGAATTCGTGGGTCCAATTCGGCTTTTGAGGAAGGAAAATGTTTTAAATGAAAAGAGAGGGTAGCTTAGGGATACTAATGGAGACCCATCAATTGTGTGCATGACTTCTATGAATCATTTATATTGTTGATGTTCTGCGGATACTTCCAACTATAAAGCATATAAAAAATGATGTTGATGTAGTGGCTTCGAATTTTTGGCTAATCGTATTTATGCATGAAGTCGTTCAATTTTCAAATTATTTGATTACATGTAACATGTAAAAGGTCAGTACCTTAAGAGGTATAAAAATTTCGTAATTAGGAATTTATGGCGGCCATTGTCAATATTCATGAAGGAAATTACAATTTCTAGTTTCCTTTACTTGTGTTTTTACGTGGAAATCTTTTTCCCTCAATGTGTGATAGTTAATAACAAAATATGATTAATATTTTTCTAGGTTGACACAATTAGTTTTTTTTTTAGCACAATTAGTTGAAGTGTCAAGGATTCTCAACTAAGGAACTAAAAATCATCTACTCAAATTCCATCAACTGCATACACATTACCCTGAATCAAGTCACCTACATAGATCAAACGTCTAAATTTGATCAGTTGTTTATACAATGTCTTGTGGGCTTCCAAATAGTAAGTCCTCTACACACGTGCTCTCAAAATTCTGAAAAAGAAAACATCTATAGAGTTATAAGAAATTGTTCTTTTTTGGGCAATCATTTCAAGCCCATCATGATTCCTTTTCTTGTCTTTTTCATTCCCTCCGTCCGTTATGGGACAACACTGATCAAGAAAGTTGACAAATCGTGCCCGTGGTAGGACCTATTACGCAGCAGATGATGTTGATGATTTGATAAAGGAAACCCTAGTTTCGACCAAAGTTCAAATAATTAATTCAGGAGATGGACGAGGAACGTTCCCAAGCACTGAGATAATCCACAGTAAGTGGGGTCATTAAATTATGATATCAGAGTGTTGATATCTTATCGGAGAATAGGAAACATCAGTTAATTTTTATTGGTTAGAATATTTTATTACAATGGTATCCAGCCCTCGTTTCCAGGGCACTCCTTAACTAAGGAATTTAACAAAGGGTTAATATAATAAAAACCCCAAACCGATATAACTGTGACAATTATTAAATTTTACCGTCAAATTTATAAGTTGGATGATACGTGACAGTTGACGGGTGTACCGATTTAGGATTTTGCCTTCTGTTTGTCATATGTTTTTCATGATATTAATTCAATTTGAGGGTGAGTTCGTCACAAATGTATCAGTTTTGGATTTTTAGTGGTTAAAGGGTAAATTTGTCACGGATGAACAAGCTTGGGGTTTTTAGTAGTCAAAAAACTAGTTTACGATAAATTTATCACATGTATACCAATTTGGGATTTTTCATAGTATTAACCCTAAAAAAGATTTACAGTTTCAAATATACACCTGTTGACTAATACTTTGAAAATGGTAGTATTCCAAATTAAATATATTTCGTACATATTTTGGGAAAACTCGTTAGCAGGATTATCAAAAAATAATGGGTTCGATGCAATCAATAGCTAAAATTGAAAGTTTTTTGAAGCACTCATTAACAGGATCCTAAAAAAAATAATAGGTTCTATGTAGGAATATGCAAGCAATAGCTAAAATTGAAAGTTCTTTGACACACTCGTTAAACTGATTCGACACCTTAGAAGTAGAAATTTCAATCTCTAAACATATCGTATGTATGCTGCTTTGGTCCATAAATTCGATCATGACTGTTGCATCTTACAGTCAATCGGGGGAAGCTACCATTCCTAGTCATCTCCGTTGTTTACTCATGACTTCAGCATCAACTTTTATGCGGGAACCTAAATTTTGAGATTATTCTCGGGTCATTTTTGAACTATTCTCTGATAAATGGATTAGACACAAACGATACTGTTAACATTTTTCGCCGATCGTGAGTATACAAAAACAGTTATATTCTATTAACAGAATAGGAAAGGATTTTAAGAGATAGAAGAAAATGTAAAGTTTATTTATAGTGGTTCCGCCTATTCATTTCGCCTACTCTACTTTCATAGCTCTAACAATCCAAGTTGAGGTTGGATTAACATGTAATCATTGAGATGTTACGGTGTCAGAAAATTCTTCTTTATATGCGTTGCTCTTCTTCTTCATATTCAAGCAATTCTTACTACACACAACATCCTCTTGTCTGATTTCAGACACTCGGACTTCTACAAAGTAACACATGTATACGCAGCTCCTACACACGCGAATAACACGAAGAATAGAGCTTAGAGCCTAGACTAGTCTTTGTTCCTTTTCCCCACCTCAGCTACCGCACTTGGGTTGAATTTTATTGTCATTTAGACTTCAAGTGACCTTTTGAAATAAAAATCCCATGAGTAGTTGTTGCTTCTATTGTCTGCAGTTGCAAAACGTCACTCTGCAACTCCACATAGACAATTCCCCATATTGGTTAGTTCTGCTTTTGCAACGGCATGCCATTTTTCTATTGCAC